TGATTTGAATCAAAAGAAAAAATGCAAGTTTGGTGAGAAATTTAGATGCACGTCACGCATACGTTTTTTTTTTCAGGGCGCCAATTTATGCAGAATAAACTTGAAATAAAAAGCAGTAAAATCTGCAGACACATTTTGAAATTATATCATTTGAATGGAACAAAACAACCAATGTCTTTGATTTGCAGCCCCTTTGCAATTGATGCATATCGAGAAAACGCCTCGAACGCTATAAACGTACCCATACCTGGTAATAAGGTTACTGCATCCGTTCGAAGATGTGCACAAGTCAAGTGATATTCCATTTATTGAAATATGCATCACAAAAAAGAAATAAACTCTGTAAAAGCTCAAAAGTAAACACACTGTCATTACTCCGTACAGACTAGCAGGCCGATAGACTTAGTCCGTGCTGATCAGATTTTGGTCAGGGAAAATATCACAAGTGGAAAGATAAGTTATTTGGTATTTGCACGGCTGAAGGGGGGGTGTGTATTATAACTGCTGTTCATAAGCTATAATTGTGAATTGTCTATCTAAATGTAGTTCTAATATACATTCTATACAAAGTCATGTATATAGTCTGCAGTTGGTTTGCGTCGCAAAATTCATTTGTCAATTATAACTGATTATTTTAGTACTAATCTCAAATCTAAACCAAGTAATTTGATGTACGGTAATTATTTACTTCAAATCTTAAAAGCAGTTAACCAGAATACAATTTTTTTTATGTGTACATAGATCTATACGTTATTCAACAGACAAACACAGGAAGAAATGCCATCCCCTGTTCAGATTGACATCTAGGCATTTGATTTTTAGGCGGGGGGGGGGGGGGGCGTGCAAAAATAATTGACATGACCGTTATCTAAATATTCTTGGAAGACAGACATCTCTGCCGAATTCAATTTTGATTTTTTTTTAAATGTGTCACTCCGACCACAAAGTATGTGCATTTTGAGGAATGTATAAATGTTTTATAATTATGTTGTTATAGAGATTCTATCGAGATTTCAGTATCCCTGCCTGATAGTCTCGCTAATTTTTTTTTTTTTTTTATATAAAAATAATTTCTGTAGGAGTATTTGGGTGATAATTTTAAAAGCTAGGGTAGGGATTCTTGACACTGGTTGAATACGGATAATTTTTATTTACTCTTTTGTATATTGAACTAACTCTCTCTCTCTCTCTCCTCTCTCTCACTCTGTAACCATCCCTTATGGCAATAATAGGTATAAGATCCTACGCACTTTCTGCTGTACCATTTATTAAGCCTTAGGACAGATCAAGGATTTTTTTTGCAGGCGGGATGTCGAAACTTCATAAATTGAATAATAATTTAAATTTGGACAAGAAGTTAACCCAAACGGCCAAATTGAAAGAGAAACTAGAGGTATTGTGAGCAATGAGCTCACTAAATGATACCCCCGCCTCCCATATGGTTATAATGGCAAAGTCCATATTTTGCTGTTGTCGCTAAACCCAAAATACGTGTCGGATCAAAAAGTAAAATAGGAGGTGCACAATGGTAATATGTAATAAACCTAAGATTCTGTGAAAGTTTTAGTAAATTTCACTAAGTGGTATAAGAGGATTTGCGGATAAGAGATGGGTACCCCAAAGCGTAACAGACCGACGGACGGACATAAATATAACTATATACCCTCCCACTTTTCAAGCGGGGGATATAATAAACGTGAAATATACATCACAGGAATGGGTACATTGGGAGCTTTCTCAAATACCTTCTCAAACGCATTGGCATCGGAAGTAAATTGAAAGTGTGTGTGTGTGTGGGGGGGGGGGGGGGGGGGCGCTAAGTGCAAAATTTTTTTTTTATACGTTCAAAAAATCTGAGAAGCTTTAAAAAAGGGGAAATGTCCTTTTCCAAAACACGAATATCATATTTCGTGTAGGGAAAGGGGGGAGGTAGGTTCGAACTTCAGTAACAAAATTTTTCTCCAAACACCAACACTTTCCTCTTTGTTAACCTATACTGCGACTTGTCTGTGGAAAGTGTGTGTGGGGGGGGGGGGGGAGGCTAATCCTACGCAGCAATGTTCAGTGTCTTTACTAAGCATATATTTGTAAAAAAAAAAAAAAAAAAACAAAACAAAAAAAAACAACTATCCCCCGGTTCCGACACCTATGCTCAACCGTACGAGTCGAACCTGAACCTGGGCAACAGACAAGAGAATTTTTAAAAAGCTAATTGTAGATAGAATGTTGAATTCTCCCGGGGGTGGGGGTGGGGGTTGTTAATCGTTAATTATTTATGTCTATTAATTTAATTTACATTAAATTCTGGTCAGCGCAACTTCTTATAAACCACTGAACAGAGTTTTGTCGTACTTTCGAAATATTTATAGGAGTCAATGTTTGTCTAGATTTGCACATCACCAGGAAATTCCGAATTCTTTATTTTTTCGGGAATTTCCGCACTTTTACATTTAGATTTTGGCCATATCTTGAATATAAAGATGAGCAGTTTGTCAGCGCAATTCCTCATAAACCGCTGCACACAATTTCGTCAAACTTTGCAGATATTTAGGACACAATGTGCATAGATGTGCATATAACAAGAAAATTACGATTCCTTAATTTATTTTTTTTCTGGGAATTTCAGCACTTCGACTTTTGGGGGAGCGTGGGGTATGTTTTCATTCATTGTACATAAAATTATAAATAACTTTAAATCAAATTATATTAGGTCTAATAAAGCCAATACACAGTATTTATTTGATAATAATTAATCATAAAGAAATTAATATGTTTCAGACGTTTCCTTAAATTATTTTTATGAGAGTGTTAATATGCATGTTTTATTACACCCCCCCCCTCCTATCACAGGAAAATATCTTCAAAAGGTGAATGATTCGTAATAATGCATGCTTTATTATAAATTTAATGAAGTTAAACCATGTAATCATAAATTCTATTTGCAAAATTTACAGACAAGAGTAATGTTTAGTTTTGAAAAAATCACTTGCATTTTACTGAGCTTTCAACCTTTGATATTTTCCCTGAGCAAATAAAATGATCGGCATGGGCCACGTGTGTCCAAGCATCTTTTACTGTTGAGTTAGCAATGGATTACTGAGATGCATTTTTCAATAAAAGTAAAATAGGATAATTCTTTCGACATGTGCACATCCCTGAAACGATAGCAGTATATTCAGGTAAATGTTTTATCACTGCGTTTGACGCGTTTTCTCGACCTGCTTGGATTTTTGCTGTACATGAATGTATTCCGTGTAAGTGTATTTTCTATATTACAGCAAATGCATTCAAAAATAATTTAATTCTCGGTATAGTTCTATTGTTTGGTTGAATTCTTACTTTTCAAACATGTATTTGGTCAGTTTATTCAGTTTATGGACTTCTAAAAACTGTGCTATCGGAGATGTGTACATGTCGACAGCCAGGCTAGAAAATCACTCAAGTGAAACAATTCTACAAGGCTATATATAGCAGGTACAGGTGGCCAAAAATCTTCGATAAATATGGCGGAATTGAAGAAATATGGCGGACAAGGGCGTTAGTAAGTCGTACAAAGATGAAAACTGATGCCTTTTTAAGAGTTCATGTCAGGTTTAAGGAAGGTCAGAGTTCACATTCCTTGTACATCGTATCGGAAGTTTAATTGTGACGTCATTGAAATTTAACAAGCCACAAAAATTAATAAACGACATGATCATGCGTAAATAACAACTTGAATTTATTCATTTTATCGATTATTCATAAAATCTTGTAAAATTGCAATACTTGATAGCGATACAGTCGAGTAATAGAAGAAAGCCTTTTGTCAAATATGACGTCATCAGCCTTGGTATGACGCAGCACAAGTGATCCAGAGGAGTAGATACACTGGATAAATAATTACAAGAATGCTTAGATAAATATGATACCATTGCTAATTTTTAGACCTAATCATAAAAACTAAAAGAAAATAATTTATTAAATACAATGTGTATAGAATATGAATTTATCTAGTAGCATTGAAGCTGCACAGGGATAAGGAATATAGAGAATATCGCTAAAACGATGAGCGTATTCGTGATTTACATCAAAAAGTGCAAGGGCATAGACTATTTTGTTTGAGCTGAAATTTGGAATATTTATTGCCCATATAGTGTATATTTTGAAAAGTGCTGGGAGCTGATCCTGGTCGGCATAACATTAATTTTATTTATAACAGAATTATAAGCGAAGTTGAAATTTTTAGCTATTATAAGCATTTTCGGCAAAATTTTAAGTACTTTGCAAACAGCACTGACTAGCTCCCAGCACTTTTTGGGTAGAGAATATAAACCTCTTTTAATATGTATCAATTTTTTTCTTGAAAAACAAGCGTATGCCCTTGCACTATCCACATTTCCTACATTCAGCTTAACAATTTTATTTTTATACAAGTCACGTGACAAACAGCTGATACGTGCGATATAACTGGTAATAACTACGGCCCAGTCCTATCCATTATTGATAGCTATATTACATTTTCTACAAGTATTCAGTTGCTTTGTTAATTTTTTTTAAAAGAAGCAATACATATTAAAACGGTGCAAAGGTCACATTTTCCATATCGGTCCTTAACATAGCTGAGATTATCAGGAATCAAGGTAATGTTGAATGACACAAGAAATAAAAATGTGGGATTGATATCCTTTAATAAAAACAAAATATTGAAGAAAAGAAATAAAAAAAAACAGCAAAAAATAAAAATACAATCAAGCGAAAGAATTATCATAATAATAAATTATTCAACTTAAGTCACATATATGATTATTTATGCAACAATTCTCGTTTTTAAAAAGTTTATTTGTATCATCTGTCCTTAACTCATCAAATATAACAAAAATTAACTAAATGCCTCCCTATAAAGATGGATTAAAGATGTTTTATGTGAAAGGGTGCACAGACGAACATAAACGCAAATATAAACATGATAAAGGTAGACAGTTGCAGAGGGATGCTACAGCCACATGGAGACGTCTATTGCCTTTAATAGAAGTTCGGTTTTACGGTCTTAGCAGTGTCTGATGGCTTGTTGATCTTAGGGAACGTCCAGGTCGATAGATGTTGGTGAGGTTTTCAATGTATCTCGGTGCCATGTTCTAATTAACTTTGTATGTATAAAGAAGAATTTTGTATTGGACGTGTTTAACAACTGGTAGCCAATGCAAAGGCTTGAGAATGATAGTACTGTAAATTCTTAATTATATACGCAAGGAATTAATTATCGTGCAATTTCGCGAGAAGCATCGCTTGCAAAATCAAATTACTTGCTCTATTTTTTTTTTTGTGCTGAAATCAATGTAAATTCTATTGATCAACCTTCCATTTAAGAAAAATTATTCTCGCGCTTTGATGTTGTCATTTCGCGATAATAAATTCTCGAGAAAAATAAAGAATAAAAAATAATGTTCTCCATCCTCTTGGTACGGGTAATACGGGTACGGGTACGGGTAATACAACGTGCCGCTATATTCATTGCTGTTTGGCTAGATCGGTTTCATTTGTGCCATAAAGTGAATCATTAGCATAGTCGAGCCTGGAGGCCACAAGTGCACAGACTATGATCTTGCAAGCATTCTCTGTAATCATCGGTCGTGTTCTACCATTGTTCCTTAGATTGAAGTAGCATGCACGAGGAATGGACGTATTTTGCTTTTGAATGCTGAGATACCTATCAAACCATACACCGAGGTACTTTACGCTGCTTGTCTCACTAATGCCGGTGCAACTAAAGTTCAGATGATACAATGGAGATTCTTTTATTTGATGTATAGGATTAAAAACTATAAAATCTGTTTTATTCTCGTTTAGTTTCAGCGTTTTGGTGCACATTCAGTGTCTCAAAAGTCTCAAAACAGTGTTATTCCACATGTCCCTAGGTTAAAAGACAAAGTAAGCTTTAGAATCACCAGCATAACTATGATAGTGTATGTTGTTTTGGAACAGATGCTACTAATAGGTTTGGAAAGATTATTAGATCGATTGCTGTTCGTTATCTTAACCTCGAATCATTTAAGTGTCTGAAGCCATTGTCCTACGATTTAGGTGTCTCTTTAAGTTCGATCTGAAGGCTGTTACTTCCTCCACGTCCCCTCCCTCCGGGAATTCTAAATATGATTTTGATTCTATCAGGTCCATTAAAGAAAGTGGTAATTTCTTCATTGCACTTTCCTCGAGAGCCACAAGAAAAAGAACATTTTCACCATTTCGGGAATATATAGATTCCATGCGAGCCATGTTCAGTTCAAACATACACCAGTATGATTCTAAAAACTGTGACGTCATAATACAAACAGTTTGTCTGCTGTTATGAATGGCGTTTGTGATGTTATCTTCAATTCCTGTCCCTGGGATGAAATCCCGATGATGTATACACAGCCTCAAGTCGCTTTTATCTTCGAGGAACTTCACTAAGGAAATAACGAACTGTCGGTCACTTTCAGCATACGACACAAAGGCATCAAAGTGATACTCTTTTCCATGATATTTCCGGTTACGTAGTTCATCGTCTTTGTACTTTTCCCTTGCAACATAATACATATATCTTAATTTCCACCTATATCTATAAAGAATGCGACTGAGAGTGGTTGTCAAGGCAACGATTATTAATGACGTCATAATCACGATAAGAAGAGTATAAGAAAAACATTGTTTCTCCAAAGTTTGAAGTAGATTTTCAATGTCAGAAAAATGGATGTTTGATGAATTTAAGAAAACACAAGAATAGTTATGGAAATACAGAAATTTGATATTTTTTGAAAACTCCATCCACTTTATAAATTCCAAGTTTTCACAATTGCATCTTAATCTGTTACCTTTCAAATTCACAGAGATTTCTCTTCTTTGTGAAACTGAATCTAATGCCTTTCTTGTTTCCGTATTCAAATATGATAACTGATTATTTGAGAGGTCTAAATTTGATAGATTTGTCATATGATTTATAGGTATCGAAAACTTATTCAAAGAATTATAGCTTACATTAAGATTTTCCAATTTATTCAGATTACGGAAAATTTTATCCGGAAGAGAAACAATTCTGTTCCTAGTTAAATCCAAAGTGGTCAACATACGAAGATATTGAAAAATTTCTCCATTCTCATCCATTTCTAAATTTTCACCCAATGCATTATGAGAGAGGTTGAGATAAGATAAATTTCTAAAATACTGAAAGAAATTCGGTGAGATATAACTGCAGAAATTATTAGAGAAATCTATATATTCCACACTTTCGAATCCAATTATAGGACCGTTCAATTCGTAAATGATATTATTTTGCATGTAGATACGTGTCAACATGTGAGCCGTCTTGAAAACATAATCCTGTAGGGTAAATTTGTACAAATTGTCATGGAAATAAAGGATTTTAAGATTTCGTGGCCAAAATATACTAATATTGTATTTTCTTTTCAAGGATAATGATAATTTAGGGCTCTTAGTCAAAATATCATTTGGTTCTGTAAGCCTTTTGCCGACTGCTCTGGTATCATTACAGTTTATCAAAAATTCTGTTGTTAGCACTTGACGGAAAGAAGCTTGAAAACTCACATTTATGCTGACTACATTTGGCAAATCGCCAAACTCCGCCAAATAAAATCCAAAACTCAGAATGTTATTCGCCAAATTTAGATGTTTGAGAGACTTTGGTAATTCTGTTATAACTCCTGTTTCAAGACTGTTGATGCGATTTGACGCCAAATTCAGTTCGTCTAGTTTTGTGTGCCTGAGAAAAACAGTATGATATTTCATGAGATTGAAACTGACACCGTAGGTGCATTGTAATTTTTCAAAATTTAGAACTCGAATTGAAGTAGAATTTCGTAAGTCACTCGATACATTAACAATAACTTCTATAGTTAATTCCTGATTATTTGAAATATCAAGATGTAGAATGTTTGGGGAGTTCTCAAAAGCACCGAGCTCAATAGACCTAAGTTTATTGCTAGAAACACTTATATTTCTCAAGTTTTTATAGTTGCCCAATGACACTGTATCCATTTTTTGCAGTATGTTTTCAGATAAATCTAGATACTGTATTCCCCTAGGAAGACTTTCTGGAAATGTTGAAAGACTGTTTCTTGCAAGATTTATTCCTGTGACGTTATTGTTGAAAGACGGTGTCGTTGTTAGATTAAGGTTCTCACAATTTGCCCACAGTTGTCCTTGATAGTTTTGACATCTACATCTTTGGTCTGACGAACATTCCAGAGATTCCACTTTGAAAGATGTTGCAAATAAAACAGAAAGGCAAAACAGACCAAACATGGCGTCTGAATGCTTTGAATTTCTACAAGCAAATAGAGAATATAAGGTCATGTATTAAAGAACGATACGAGTAATGAGATATCTTTCAAAATATTTGGCTGCGCTCTCCCAACTGACTTACTAGAACTGGCCGGCTTAAAACGTTTTTTTTTTACATTCTAGGACAGGATATTTTGTTTTCCTTTTGAATTGTCTTATTCCGCCAACAAATATAGTGAAATTTCCGGGAAAAAATGAATTGCCCATCTCCATGTACCCATTGACCCAATAATTTACCATTAGTCGGGAGAGGGAAAAGAAACGTTATTTTAAAGATGACCTGATGAAATTTCTTTTTTTATATTTAAATTTTGTATTATACGTTTTTAAGAAAAAACATACCTCTAAATGAAATATCTCTTCTATAATTTATTCTCTCTGTAAGAAAAGAAAGATAAATAAAGGCGTTGGTTTTGATTAGAAATATGATGTAGTTAAGATTAATTATATTGCGATGATTGAAAAAAAAACTAATGCCAGAAAACATGAACATTTCAAGACCGAAGGATTCAAATTAAGTGAGATGGATAAGATTTCAACAATTTAAGTACAACTGGATGAGTGGAGGGACTTTTTTAGTTAATTCATGTAGTAAAAACACGAATAAAATCAGTAAGGTAGACTGCAGGCATTTTCAACGGGAAGGTCATATCATGTCTGTTTCTCATAGAGCAAATTGCAATACCCCTTTCTATTACTTAGTTGACGTTTTCCTGCACTGATCACAATTTTATTTGGCACAAAAAATGGGATTGAAAATAATAATTCAAATTTATTTCCGGAGGAAAAGTCTTAAAAGATATTCCTCGTAATTATTGTTGAAAAAGTTTCATAATCGAAGCCGTATGAAATTTTACCATTTTTTGTATTATATGTTTTTTTTCACCGAAAGGAATTTCTTTTATATAAAACATATATATTACGATAATTGAGGGTTTAAACTTTTTAGAAATAATTCTTCGCAGTATAAAATGTGTAGACATTTCAAAAAAAATCTTCCGGATTTTATTGCAATGTTTTTATTTTGTACGAATGTGACCTCTTATCCATAATTGCACTGCGCAATACAAAAAAAAAAAAACAAAAAAAAAAAAAAAAAAAAAAAAAAACTTTGGGCTATTCTAAATTACTATATAGAAATAGATAGATAACTTACCAAGTCTTTGCCACACATTCTTTTACATACTATTCATCCTCATGAAGAAGAGATTTGTATTTATATAAATTATAAATAAATTTCTACAACATGAATCATTTCTAAATATCCATTTGGAAAAAAGGGTCGATCTGAATAATTTACTGTGGACGCCACGACAACAAATCATGAATGATGAATATAACACCTTACCCCTGTTCCTTGTTCGGGAAATTTTACGTCCGCAATGTGATAGCTCTAAATACGTAAACATTTTGTTGATGTGAACTAGAAAGTATTAAATATCATGTTGTATTTCAATCACTTTATTCGTGCCATTCAGACAGAATGTGATGAAATGTGAACTTTAATTGGGACATAAAATTACCTTTTGCATATATACCATTGTGTATATCAAATTTATTATCTTATTTTTTACAGATTTGCATTGTAAAACACGCATTAATATTATGCATAGTTGAAAAGATTACCCTCTCGTTTCTTTTCTTGGCTTAATTGTACTTAATGCATATTTAGGTAAGTATTCCAATTAGTAAATAGAAAGGTACAGAAAAGCAATAACATAAAGTAACATCTTTAGAAATACACGTTGTCCTAATAAATAAAATAAGCTGAGTATTAATAATTATGATGAGTAAATTACCTCCGTATGGATGTTTGTAGGGAGAAGGAAGCATTTATATTTTAAAATGCCAAAAAAAATTAAATATTCTCTCTCTCTCTCGCCCTCTCTCTCTCTCTCTCTCTCAAGTAAGACATACGTGTTCAAATATATTTGTAGATACTTAAATATTCAAGTCAATTTTCCTTAAGATTCTTCGCAAATTAGAATATTGTACAATTTCTCGTGAACTACAATGAATAATCATGAATATCTCCATGTGACGTATGTCATATCTTTTTTTTCCTTTTAATTTCTTGTCATGTTATTCAAATTTGGTACAAATATTTTTGCAATAATTTCAAATGATTTGTTTCAATTTTTTTTTAAAATCACGATTTATTCAAAACTTAATAATGTCTGTAGTCATATTCCCCAAAAATGGGGTAAAAAAGAAAACAGCCTAGAAATTAAAATTAAGAATTGTTTCATCGATTGGTATTCCAATTATGACTTAACATTTTGCTTCGTTGAAAAGAAAGTAACTTTAGAAGATAGGTAGTCCTCATTGAAAACGACAAAACCGATGACATTTTAGAACGTCACAGAGCAGCAGATGATTATGCAATTTTAAGTTTTACTCAAGAAAAATCCTAAATAAACTCTAAATATGTTATTGGGAAAAAATGTCACAAGCGAGTTGTACATGTGTGTACAAAGAATACAGGCAGTATTTGAGTGAAGGAGACTATGTATCGGATGAGGACAGTCTGTGAAGAAACGGTTTAACTCTAAAAATCTAAGAAAAAAATTTGAAACAGTTGAAACGTTAAGGAAAACATTTGCCTCTCAAAGTTGCTTATCTTGTGAAAGCAAAATTAAGTTATAAAAGAAATTCAAACCTAAACAAAGGAAATTATACAACGAAAACAATTCTTTAAGAGCATGTCTACGAAAAAACCATGCAGATATATAGAAAAATGCTCTGGTAGGCACTCTCAAGAACAAACTAATTTTTATTATTAACTTAAAGGACACCCATTGAGAGTCAGAAATATGTTGTTTATTTTTGCATCTGTTGTTTCTATTTTTAGTAACAGCCAATAATTCATTTTGGTCAATATTCAAGGGAAAATGCAAAAAAGTTGGTGTAAAAATGACGATTTCAATATTTAAAAGTAAAAAAGAAAAAACAATATATAAATAAAAAGGGAATGTATTCTCATAGAAGTAAGTCGTAAAATTAAGTTGGAATCAATTTTTTTGTAAAACCACTACATAGAAGGCTGCCCCGAGGGCACAAATATTGGCATGGTGCCAAGAAATGATAATGGTTCATTTTTTGTTAATATTCAGGGATACATTTCTTAGAAAGTGACGCTTCTTTTTTCAGAATTTTGTGCATTTAAGAATCTCTAGGATATTATCCCAACAATATGTAAAATCCACCTTTGGACTCTGAAGGACAGAAAAGTTATATCGTAATAAATTACCTCAAATTCAAATGATGGAAAAATTCATGATTTTATAAGTTTTACTTTTAACAATAAATTCAATGAAATTTGTGTAAAATATTAACAAATATAAACAATGAAAATTATATTTAATTTTATAAAAGCTATTAATATTTTTCATGCTTTTCCTGTGAAAAAAAACCCCGTATTTTACTATTTATTTAGATTTTGTCAGAATTATCTCCCCTGTTGCGCTCTTCTGTAGAGAAGGTAGATAATGATTATGTTTACAAAGTTTATAAACAGATGTCTGTCATCTAATCGTTTTAGGCAAAAATTATGTGTGATTTGAAGAAAATTGTCCCTCCTGTGAATGTAATTTGTTACGTATATACTAGTGGCCTATGTATAAAATACATAAAAAATTATGAAAACCATCGGGATCGATGTACGGGTGCGTAACCACGTGTAAACATTATGGCATCCTGAGACGTTTTGTTACCGTTTTGTACTTCCTCAGCAAAAGATTCAGGTGCGTGAATTGTTAACGAGTCTTCAGATTCTGACTCTGATTTTGATGAATATGATTCTGACAGCAAACATTCATTTGGTAGCAAGACGGATGTAGTGATGATGATACCGAATCAACAGTGTTTGAATTTGAAAAAGAAACAGGTAGGTGGATCTTGGTTTATAATACTATGTACCTTTTAAAAAGGCTTATTGATATGCAAAAAATAAATAAATAAACAATTTTGATGGGGGCTTGATTATGGACAAGAGAAGATTTTTTACAAGACACTATCAGGTCTGATACAATCGCTAGATTTAGCTATATACGTAGCTTGATTTACCTACTTAGTTAGCTTAATTTACCTACCTGAAGTAGCTTTATTTAGCTACCAAAGTAATTTATTTCTGTAAAAAATACCTACGTAGCTAAATCTAGTGATTGTAGTGGACCTGAATATATACCTAGCAAACCTGTCAAGAGAAATTTCAAGGTTGGTACTTGCACATGTAGCTATAAAAATATCTGTATCAATTCAACAATATTGCAAAATATTCACATCTGCAGAATTATAAATAGCATAAGTAGCCTTTGTTGGGTGATGAAGAGGGAATGAAAAGTTGAATAGGTCCAGGGTTTTCAAAGACTGTTTACTAATAGGGTACATTAAGAATTGGATAGGTGGGTCTTCAATGTCAATTAAACCACCATTATTGCCTCATATGTGGGCTGCATGATTATAAAGAATCTCATTAAACAAAATGTTTTTTTCAGATATTTATGAAATGTTATGAAGATAGCTACAGATTTTCGGCTTTTCATATATGATTAAAGGAAAAAGAGTTGTCAAATACTTGTGCAGACTTTTCAAATTAAAGGTCACCATGTGTTCCTTGACAGGTTTGTGTTTAAAACATAACTAATATTATAAATATAAGTCTGGGAAATTATGCTTTGTAAAGAATATTTCCTTTCATTCTTATATTTCTCGTGCAATTTCAGATTATTCAAATTCATTTCCCTGGTTAGGGAAGGCTTTACAATGGGATTTTCAGCTGTGGAGCTATAAAGAATTACTACATAGGGTTTCCAATGTAGCTTTGTGAACAGAATCCAGAAATAAGAAGAGGAGAGACAATGCAGATGCAGCATTAGCTTTACCAATTACTTACCACTGCTGAGAAAATGGTAAAGATATGTTATATTTTTATACCTCTACTGTTATTACTCTGTATAAATTAATACCATAAAAAAATCTCTATTTCCCCGAGAAGTGACTATTGCCCTCATCTGAAGACTACTCCCTGGAAAATCAGAGCTACTCCCTGGGACTACTCCCTCATGAATATTTATTAGTAATTTTAACCAATCAAAGTGATCAGTGGGTGGAGCGTTCAAGAAATCTCGAGTCTGTGACGTCATTTTATTAGAAATGTAGCTATGACGTCAAAACATTTTGACATGCGATGTCAAAATCATACTTGAATTCTACCAAAATGAAGACAACGATAATTTTTCAAAATGTCAGTGAAAATACTTTTTAAAAATAATTTAATTGTTTAAACTCGTACGAAATTCAGAGACGTACTACGCCTGGCAATTTTCAAGAATTGCCAAAAGTATTACAAATTTAATGCCCCAAATCTTCCAAGACCAATCTTTGAAATTAATTTTTTTGATTTTATTGTACCAATATAACTCTAAACATTATCTTTGCGAAATATTGAGCTTGGGAAA